AAGAGTACAGATGTATTTTATAAAGACATAGTATCAGAGACAAAGTAGTTTCATGGAATGTGATTCAGTGATCTAATGATTTAAAAAACAGATACATCCATGTCCTTATATGTAAAGAAATCATATATATAACAATAGAGAAAACCATCAAGGCTGATTAATTTTGGCACCATGAAGTAGAATGGAAAGTTGAATTACTCTCTAGAAAATGCTTATATATTTGTTCCTGAAGAACAAAGAGATCCCTTGCTCTTCCTTGGTCATCCCAACACAGCCACCTGTATCCTGCAGCAGAATGTATTTGGACTTCTCTTCACTGTGGCTCTATCTGCAGTGTAGACAAAAACTGCAAATATAGTCAAGTCCTTCAAGGTCACTGTTCTGGGAAGCATGATAAGGTAGTTAATGATATCAGGGTCTCCTAACATCACCATTCCCCTCTGTACCATGACCCAACTTCTCTCTACAATATGGCTGGCAACCTCTCCATTTGTTTACACAGATGCTCACTCTTAGCATGGACACATCATCATTGTCATGTGCAATAAGAGCTCAGCTTTTGCCTTCCACTGTGTCTTGGGTTACCTAGGCGTTGTGTCCCTAGGGAGCTACCTTATGGCTTTCTCATCCAAGAATCTTCCTGATAAACTCAGCAAAACCAAGTTTCTGGCTTCTAGCATACTGGTGTTCTGTGGTGTTTTGGTCACCTTCTCTAGCTACCACATCACTTAAATGAGGGCCATGGTGGCTGTGGAAGTCTTCTCCATTTTGGTTTCCAGTGCAAGAATCCTGGGCCTCATCTTTGGACCTAAGTGCTACATTGTATTATCAAGGCCAGAAAGTAACTCACTTAATCACATCAGTGACTGAACACATTCTAATATAAAAAACCCTTCTGAAGCTTAGCTCACATGTTTCTGAAATTAAATGGAAATCCTGAAACCTATTCTGTACCATTTAGACTGTCACATATAGATTATAATTTAGCATTTGATGGTATTGGCTATTAGTTCTTTAATTATATTATGTTAATTTCATCTATAGCCACCAGATTTTTCATTTTGAGATATACATTGCATTTCTGTTTCCTTTTTTGATACCTACTATTATTGTGGTCTTATTGAACGAATTTGCTTATGAAATGCAATCTTACATGTTTTTCACTTGGATCATTCCTAGTTTGAAAGTTTTATTTTAATAAAGATTCATCTCACCAATCAGTGATGCCAAACAAGTTGCAGAGCCTTGTAAGTCACTTGATGGTTTTCAAAAAATATTTTGTAGCTTTGCCTTCTAGTGTACTAACTGTGTCAATATATTAATGTGTTTCTGAAACACCATGTGAATTTTATTCAATTTTGTTACTAAAACTGAATGTTTTGCCCGACCTCTGGTGTGAATTGAAAGAATGTTCCTCACTTTATCAAAACTGATGAACTTTGTAGAAATGAGTAGCTGAATGTGTTTACCTGTTGCAGTCATAGAAAGCTGTGAGCAGAGAGTCAGGAGGCCAGGTTACATCTGAGCATTTGAAAGATTTCACTGAATTTCAAACCCAGGCTTCATGTAATTAGCCGCAAATTGGTGGATCTGATAAACTGATATTTGAAACTGGATCATAAAATAAAGACCCAAATTAATAACCTACTATCCTACTCTTTTTGTAATATCCTGATATAGAATAATATTCAAAAATTACATTAATTTATTTTATAATTTAATTTAATTTTACATATCAGCTATGGATTCCCCTGTCCTCCCTCCTCCAGCACCCCCCTGCAATCCCCCCAGCCCAACCCCCATTCCCATCTCCTCCAGGGCAAGGACTCCCCTGGGGATTCAGCTCAGCCTGGTAGATTCAATCAAGGCAGGTCCAGTCCTCTCCTCCCTTCACCCAGGCTGAGCAAAGTGTCCCTGCATAGGCCCCAGGTTCCAAACAGTCAGCTCATGCACTAAGGACAGGTTCCAGTCCCATTGCCCGGGGGCCTCCCAAACCGTTCAAGTTAATCAACTATCTCACTTCGGGGCTCCTTAGCTATTGGTTCATAGTTTATGTGTTTTCACTAGTTTGGCTATTTGTCCCTGTGCTTTTTCCAATCATGGTCTCAACAATTCTCACTCATACAATCCCTCCTCTTTCTCAACAATTGGACTCCTGAAGCTCCACCTGGGGTGTAGCCATGGATCTCTGCATCAGCTTCCATCAGTCATTGGATGAGAGTTCTACCAGGACATTTAGGATGTTTGGCCATCCTATCACCAGAGTAGATCAGTTCGGGCTTTCTCTTGACAATTGCCACTAGTCTATTGTGGAGGTATCTTTGTGGATCTCTGGGGACCTCTCTAACACTTTGCTTCTTCCTATTCCCATGGGGTCTTCATTAATCATGGTTTCTTTTTCCTTGTTCTCCATCTCTGTTCTTGATCCAACTGGGATCTCCCACTCCCCTAAGCTCTCTTTCCCTCAACACTTGCCCTTCATTACCCCCCCTCACGTCCAGTTTGCTCATGTAGATCTCATCCATTTCTCTGTGGTTGGGTGATCCCTGTGTCTTTCTTAGGGTCCTGTTTTCTAGGTAGCCTCCCTGGAGTTGTGAGTAGAGCACCACAAATTAGTTTTAAGGGTTTCAGAAATGGGACCTCTTGAAATTAAGAAGCTTCTGTAGGGCAAAGCCTACAGAATGGAAAACGATCTTCACCAACCCCACACCTGACAGAGGGATGATCTCCAAGATATATAAAGAATTCAAAAAACTAGACATCAAAATACAAAACAATCCAATTTAAAAAATGGGCTATAGAGCTAAACAGAGAATTCTCAACAGACGAGCAAACTCGGGGTGAGGGTGGGCAATGGAGGACAAGGAATGGGGGATGAGAATATAAAGAAATGGGAGGTTTGACCTGGAACAGGGACAGAGTGGAAGAGCAAGAAAAGAGATACCATGATAAATGAAGACATTATGGGATTAGGGAGAAACAGTGTGCTAGGGAAGTTCCCAGGAATCCACAAGGATGACCCCACCTTAGACAGCTAGAAATAGTCAAGAGGGTGCCTGAACTGGTCTACTCCAGTGATCAGATTAGTGAATACCCTAACTGTCATCATATAGCCTTCATCCAGTTACTAATGGAAGCAGATGCAGAGATCCACGTCTGAGTGCCAGGCCAACCTCCAGAAGTCCAATAGATGAGAGAGAGAAGGGAGTCTATAAGAAAGGGACATCGAGGTCATGATGGGAAAACATACAGAGAAGGCCAGTCAAACTAGTGGAAACCCATAAATTGTGGACTGATAGCTGTGGAGCCCACATGGTACGGGAATAGACCCTCTGGATAGGTGAAATAGTTGTTTAGCTTGAACTGTTTGGGGGAACCCAGGCAGGGGGATCATGATCCATCCCTGGTGCATGAGCAGGATTTTTGGAGCCTAGTGCCTAAAATGTGACACCTAGCCCAGCTTTGGAGTAGGGAGGAGGGGTTTGGACCTGCCTCAACTGAATGTACCAGGCTCTGCTGATTCCCCATGGGAGACCTTGACTTGGAGGAGGTGGGAATAGGTGAGGGTTGGGAGGGAAGGCTGGGGGGGCTGGAAGAGGGAGGAGGGGGGATCTGTGGTTGGTATTTAAAATAAATAGAAACTTTCTTTTTTTTTTTTTTGTTTTTCGAGACAGGGTTTCTCTGTGTAGCTTTGCGCCTTTCCTGGGATTCACTTGGTAGCCCAGGCTGGCCTCGAACTCACAGAGATCTGCCTGGCTCTGCCTCCCGAGTGCTGGGATTAAAGGCGTGCAGCACCACCGCCCGGCAGAAACTTTCTTAATATTAAAAAATATGGCTAATTTGATATTTCAGAGTTGGCTTTTGTAAACTATATGTGCATTTATAGATTAGTAACATGATAACTATTCATGTATTAGAAGAAAAGACACTGTGATAAGTTGGGTATTAATACTTATATTTCATTGTAGATTTTTTCTTTCATGGATATTTTCATGATTCACATAAATATTTGCTCACTTTTATTTGAAAGAGTTTTACTACATGATGTTTACTTTAAGTTAATCTTGATATTTCATATTGAAGATCTAAAATAATGTGAACTTTCACTTGTATAAAATTGTTTATTTTCTTCTTCTTTCTAGTCATATGTCCCCAATCAACATTACAGAAAAAGATAGCGTTTATTAAAGTGTATCACCCTTCTTCAGTGCTAATTAGGGCTCACAGGGATTTGAATTTTCATAAAAATCAAAGAATAAGTTAATATCAAATTAATAGAGTGCTTTACTTTCATTAATGTTAATTAGAAAATTAAGGAGTTTATCTCATCTATCCTGCTGTTGAATGGAAATGTTGTGAAACAATAATAAGTTAAAACTCACACAAGAAGTTTTCCAGTTCCATCCTTTCCTACTGACAAGTTTATAGTCTGATGCTATTATCAACCAATTTAAAATATTGTTGATAATTAGTTATCAAAACTAATATTTTTCAGAAAAATTCAATACTGTAAATTTTATTTGGAAATGTTTTCACCAACTTCTTCAAGTTTCATATTGCAGGGTTCTCAGTAATATTAGTATATGTTAATTAAAAATAAAATCAACATTTGATCACTTTAACAAATGTCATATCTATGCTGATTTATAGGAGAAAGGATAGTAAATCCAACAGTGGATGAGTGTTCCCCTTGTTCCACATCCTCTTCAATGTAAGCTATCATTAGTGTTTTTGATCTTAGCCATTCTGACAGGTGTAAGATGGTATCTCAGAGTCAACAGGGATATTTTCTTTTCTTTTTTTTTTTGAGAGAAAGAAAGATTTATTGAGAGCCTAATTAAAGGGACAGTTAGAGTTCTGGGAGAGAGAGAGAGAGAGAGAGAGAGAGAGAGAGAGAGAGAAAGAGAGAGAATGTTTCCATTTTTTATAAAGACTGATCCTTTTTCACAACAAAATAAAAATGTTTTACATCTGGTTAAGATTCTTTTTTTTTTCCATTTTTCTTTATTAAATTTTCTACTCACTCTACATACCACGCACAGATCCCACCTCCCCCCTCCTCCCATCTCCCAGCCCTTCCTCCCAAGCCACCCCACATCCCCACATCCCACAAATCAAGGTCTCCCATGGGGAGTCAGCAGAGCCCTGCACACTGAGCCTAGGGAGGTCCAAGCCCCTTCCCACTGTACCAAGGCTGTGCAAGGTACCATACCACAGGCACCAGATTCCCAAAAGCCTGCCCATGTACCAGGGATGGGTCCTGATCCCCCTGCCTCGGTGGTCCCCAAACAGTTCAAGCCAAACAAGCATCTTCTGTATCCAGAGGGCCTAGTCCAGTCTCATGGGGGCTTCACAGCCACTACTCTATAGTTCATGGTTCTCCAATAGCGTGGCCGGTCATCTCTGCTCTTCCACTCATGATCTCAACATTTTCCTCCTGCAGAATCCTTCTTCTCTCTCATCAATTGGATTCCCGGAGCTCAGCTTGGTGCCTAGCCATGGTGCCTCCATCAGTCACTGGACAAAGGCTCTATGATGATGGTTAGGGTGTTTGCTAGATCAGTCACCAGAGTAGACCAGTCCAGACCACTGCCAGCAGTCCAAGGTGGTGTCATCCTTGTGGGTTCCTGAGAGCCTCCCCAGCACCCTGCCTCTTCCTTTTCCCATGATGTCCTCATCTATCATGGTACCTCCATCCCTGCTCTCCCACTCTGTCCCTGTTCCAGCTCGACCCTCCCATTTCCCTATGTTCTCATTCCCCACTCCTTGCCCTCTACCCCCCACACCCATTCTGCTCATGTAGATCTCATCCACTTCTCCTTTGATGGGTCATCCTTGTATCCCTCCTAGGGTCTTTCCCTGTTAGATAGCCTCTTTGGAGCTGTGGGTTGCAGTCTGGCCATCCCTTTCCTCACATCTGGTATCCACTTATGAGTGAGTACATGCTATGTTTGTCCTTCTGAGTCTGGGTTACCTCACTCAGGATGATATTTTCTAGTTCCATCCATTTCACTGCAAATTTCATGATATCATTGTTTTTTACTGCTGAGTAGTATGCCATTGTATATATGTACCACATTTTCTTTATCTATTGTTCAGTTGAGGGGCATCTAGGTTGTTTGCAGGTTCTTGCTATTATGAATAGTGCTGATATGAACATACTTGAACATGTGTCCTTGTGGTATGATTGAGCATTCCTTGGGAATATACCCAAAAGTTGTATAGATGGGTCTTGAGGAAGACTTAGTCCCAATTTTCTGAGACACCGCCATACTGATTTCCAGAGTGGCTGTACAAGTTTGCGTTCCCACCAACAGTGGAGGAGTGTTCCCCTTGCGCCATATCCTCTCCAACATAAGCTGTCTTCAGTGTTTTTGATCTTAGCCATTCTGATGGGTGTAAGATGGTACCTCAGAGTTGTTTTTATTTGCATTTCCCTGATGACTAAGGATGTTGAACAATTCTTTAAATGTCTTTCAACCATTTGAGATTCTTCTGTTGAGAATTCTCTGTTAAGCTTTGTAGCCCATTTTTTATTATGGTTGTTCGGTATTTTGAAAGTCTAGCTTTTTGAGTTCTTTCTATATTTTGGAGATCAGCCTTCTGTCAGATGTGGGGTTGGTGAAGACCTTTTCCCATTCTGTAGATGCCATTTTGTCTTATTGATCATGTCCTTTGCTTTACAAAAGCCTCTCAGTTTCAGGAGGTCCCATTTATTAATTGTTGCTCTCAGTGCCTGTGCTACTGGTGTTATATTTAGGAAGTAGTCTCCTGTGCCATAGTGTTCAAGACTACTTCCTACTTTCTCTTCTTTCAGGTTCAGTGTAACTGGATTTATGTTGAGGTCTTTGATCCACTTCGACTTGAGTTTTGTGCATGGTGACAGATATGGATTTATTTGCAATCTTCTGCATGTTGACATCCAGTTATACCAGCACTATTTGTTGAAGATGCTTTCTTTTTTTCATGGTACAGTTTTGGACTCTTTGTCAAAATCATATGTTCATAGGTGTGTGGATTAATGTCAGGGTCTTCAACTTGATTCTATTGGTCCACATGTCAGTTTTTATGCCAGTATCAAGCTGTTTTTATTACTATAGCTCTATAGTAGAGCTTGATGTCGGGGATCATGATGCCTCCAGAGGTTGTTTTATTATCCAGGATTCTTTTAGCTATCCTAGGGTTTTTTTCCATATAAAGTTAAGTATTGTTCTTTAACAGGAATATTTTCCAAACCTGCATTATAGAAAACCTTAAAAATGGATGAATGTCTAGATTTAGTCAAACCACAAAAATTAAAATTAGAAAAAAATCAACAACCTAAACATACCTATAGCAAATGAAGAGATTGAAAAATCTTTCCAACTATGGAGAATTGAGGGTCAGATAGATTCATAGCAGAATCCTACCAGACATTCAAAGAAGTTCTACAGCCAGTACTTCTGAAAATCCAAAATATAAAACAGAAGAAACACTGCTCATACTCCTTCAACAAGATCTGTATCAATCTAATACCTAAAACAGCAACAACAAAAAGTACAGTCAAATATACCTGATAAACATAGACTGAAAAACACAATGAAATACTTGCAATCAGATATACATCATAACAAAGCTGACTTTATCCCTGAAAGGCAAAGATGGTTCAACATATGCAGGTCAATAAGTGTAATAAACCACATAAACAAAACTTAAAAGCAAAAATTATATAGTCATTCCAAAATTTTGTGACAAAATTCAACATGCCTTCAGGATAAAAGTCCTAGAGAATGTAGGGCTAGAGGAAACAACTCAACACAATACAAGTTAAATATGAGAAACCCACAGGCAACCTCATCCCAAATGGAAAAAAGCATGAAGCATTGATACTGAAGTCAGGAACAGGACAGAGATGCCCACTTTCTCCCCTGCTTTACAGAACTGTGTTGGAGTACTACCTGGAGCAAGAAGGCAAGAGAAGAAATTCAAAAGGGCACAGAGAGAAAAAGAAGTCAAAGTATCCATATTTGTGAATGACATGATGCTATACAGTAGAGATGCCAAAAGTTCTACAGAAAAAAATCTAGAAATGATCAACTGATTGAGCAATTTGGGCAGACAGAGAATTGACTTGCTCAAGTAAATATCTTTTCTATACATCAATAACAAATGCACAGAGAAGAAATTCATAAACATACTCCCATTCACAAGAGTCTCAGTAACTAATAATAAATCTAACCAAAGAAGTGAAGGAACTCTACAATGAAAACTTCTAACCTCTTAAGAAAGAGACAGAGAAAGACAGTAGAAAATAGAAAGACACCCCATGTTCATTGGTTGGTAAAATTAACACTGTGAAAATCACCATTTTACCAAAAGGTATTTTGTTACTGCAATCCCAATCAAAATCGCCATCGCCTTCTTTACACAATCAGCAAAAAAATTATCCTAAAATTCATATGGACTCACAAACAGCCCCAGACAGCCCAAATAATTAAAAAAGAACAATACAGAGGTAATCACATGCCAGATCTTAAGATAAATCACAGAGCCATAGTAATAAAAACATTATCCACTGGCAGGAAAACATACATATTTGACAAAGATGTCAAAAACATATGCTAGAGAAAAGAAAACATCTTCAAGTAATAGTGCTGAGAAAATTGGATATCCACATGCAGAAGAATAAAATTAGACTAGTGTCTGTCACCTTACATAAAAACAAACTCCAAATTGATTAGAGACCTAAACCTGAAACTGCTAGAAGGATGCATGGGCAGTACCCTACATGATATTCACATAGGAAAGGACTTTCTGAATAGGCCTCCATTTGCCCAAAAATTATAGCCATCAGCCTACAAGTAGAATTTCATAAAACTATTTTCTACATGGCTAAAGGAACAATCCACCAGGTAAAAAGAAGACCCACAGTACTGCAGAGTCAAAAAACAAAAATAAAACAAAAAACAAATGACCAATTCAAAAAAGTGGGCTTGAGACCTATACAGAGAGCTATAAAAAGAAGAAAAAATGGTCAAGTAATCTCCAAAAAGAATCATCATTCTTAGCTATAAGGGAAGTTCAAATCAAAAGAATTTTGATAATTTATCTTACCTGAGCCAGCATGACAAAGATAATCAGAGCATTGGCCAACAAATATTAGGGGTGGTACAATCCTACTCAAACCATGGAATCCTCACGGAGTGGAGGTAGAGTGGCGGGAAGGTCTCCTGCAGCCAAACTACAAAAGTAGACGAGGGCAAGAAGGAGAGTGAACCTCCTCTAACTTAGCCCAGTAATATCGATTCACTACTATCAAGAGGAAGCCATTATTTCCACAATGATTCACATTCTATGTTGTGCATAGTTTTCATTGTGGTCACCTTTACGTTAGCATGCATCATGGTTGTCATGTCACATACAGTAGAATCATGGACTTAACTGTAGCATGAATCTTAAATGGTCTAATTAATAAGAACAAACCTGGAGCCAGTTATTGGGGTGAACACTGAAAGATCAGAGAAGCAGAACAAGCCACAGCTACCTCACCTTGGCAATTCCTCAGCTGACCCTATTTCCTCAGACTGGAAGCCTCTGTGTCCTCACCCGAATAGATCTCAGCTGAACTGCTGCTCAAAAGCCTAAAAGCTTAACCAGCTTTAGTTTCTGGTCCTCACGCTTTATATACCTTTCTGCTCCTGCCATCACTTCCTGGGATTAAAGTCATGAGTCATCATGCCTGGCTGTTTCCAGTGTGGCCTTGAACTCACAGAGATCCAGAGGGTTCTCTGCCTCTGGAATGCTAGGATTAAAGGCGTGTGTGCCACCATTTTCTGGCCTCTATATCTAGTGGCTGCTCTGTTCTCTGACTTCAGATAAGTTTATTAGGGTGCACAATATTTTTGGGAAAACAATATCACCACACTCAACTCATTCCTGTGCTTATGGAAAGAGCATCCTTCTCTGACAGGTTTGCTTAGTGTTTGGAGGGGTGAAAAACCTAATGTATTTCTAAGGTATTATAATTCTTAATGAAACTATGCTCTCAGACATAAACAATGGGTAGACCCAATGTTCTAGGATTAGGGAATATCATGACAAATATGTTGATTCAATGCTTCACGGTGGATAAAAGAATATAACAGAGAGTCAAAGTTCAGACTCAAACAGGAAACTCAATTTCTGTATTAGCATGAAGTTGATATTTAAAAATCAATTTGTCAGAACCATTAGTTTTATCAGAAACAGACACAAACTGTTTAGAGTGGGACATGGACATAATATTGGCGTTCACACGTACATCTGTAGAAAAAGGAACATTCTGTGACTCACGGAAAACAAAACTAGGATTGAGAGTCTCCAGTTCTACAGAACATGGTGTCTGCTATTGTGACTTGTTCAGACCTGCCATGGGCCCTTTTTGACCCTTTCCCTTTTTATATCCCATGGTATCATCTGGTGTAAAAAAGTTTGTATCACCATAAATGGCTTTCCCATGGATAGTTTCTTGGTTCACGTATGTGGCAGTATCCACTAAGAGGATTTCATGTCTTGGGACTGGTTCCCTATGGTCTTGGATGAAATCATACTGCCTGTGGCTGGAGAAGATCCTAAAAACTATTTTTGTACATGTTTTTTTGTTATTCTGAATGTAAGGTCTCAGATTCAGTGCCTGAGGGAAGAAATTATTGGATGATTCCACAGGGGAGTGAAGAGTCCTGTCAGAAAAGATGTGGGATGGATGATTCAAGGGATAGCTCCAGTCACCAATAAAATTATAAACAAACACTCACACACACATGAGCTATGTATATACGAACTGAACAATGCAGAAACCTTCTTATCATACTCATGATTGGGCAGATACCTTGTTAATATGCTGTTATCTTGGATATGCATCTCTTGCTTTTTGCAAATTCTTATTCTTGTGTGCTCCTACAGAAGCAGCAGTGAGTGCTTAGTCAGAATGAATTACCATTTATCTGGTGAAGGAAATGTGGTGAGTGTTGGATTTTTCCCTGCTTATGCTGTTTACCCGCTCAACAAAACAATTGATTGGAGAATGACTACATTTAACAGAGATTTTATGGTTGAGTAAGTCTTTTATTCATTTATTCCTTTCCAAGGTTTGGCATTCATATGCCCTAGGTGAAGTACATATTCAAACAGTATTATTATCTCTTTACCCCACTAAGACATTTCCTCTCTTCCATTCTTAGCTCTTTTTGTGGTGCTGTCTTCCTAGTGATTATTCTTGTATTTTCAAAAGTGAAGAAGGAATTTGAGTTTTATTCATTTTTCTTTTTTGCTGTAGACACTTGGAATTTCCCCCGTATTCTCTGCCATTCCTGTAACTACTCAGGATTTGGATGTTTGCAATGCTAGAAATGCAAGGGAAGGATTATATAATAGAGGATTGACAGAGTATTTGAGGGGACTCTAGAAGTCTAGCTGTGCCCCTATGAGAAGGGATGATGTCACTAAAGTTATTGGCCAGCAAATTCCTTCTTTGTGGGTAGGGTGACAACTATTGTCTGTTTTTGCTGCTGAAGATTTTGGAGCAGGAATGTCAGAACTAGACACTGAGACCTACTCTCTGCTTTAGAAATGCCTTCATCTATTTCAGATTCTTTTATATGACTTTTAGTATTTGTATTCTTTTTAATATTTGTATTGTTTACCTGTTTGCTGCGTATATATCCAATGTGTTTGTTCATTGTTATGAATGTGTTTCTGTGCATACATTTTTTTGTGATGAGGACCCTGAAAAATGTTTCTAGGCATTCTCAAAGATACAAGATTGAGACATAGTGTCTGACAAGTCTGCTAAAGAGAAACAATCATGTATGTTAGGATTTGAAAGAAGTCAGATGTATTTTATCCCAGGATGTCATGCACATAGCTGTGGGTAACCACATAATAAATATCAGAAAATGAGAAGTACAGCTCACACTCAAGTGTGAACTCAACAAAGGCAACATGGAAATATATATTCAGAAATTAGATTGGAGGCAATTGGTGGAAAACCACTTGAAACAAATATAGGACTGATGAATTGTTGTCCATGTGACATTACTGTGTCTGCTGAAATATGGCTGTGGAGTAAGTCATCAGTTCAGCAGTGGAAGAGAAAAAATGTTTAAGGGTGAAACATCATTTGAAATAAAAATATTGTAATAGGTTTAGTTTGAAATGGACATACCAAAGGCTGTTTGGGAAATATAAAAATTGGCATCTAGATAAAATATTCTGTGGAAGAGTCAACTGACTCTAGGAATCATTGCTTACTTCATGTAAGGTACAGTGTTTTATGGTCTACCAGACATTTGACCTTGCATGTCAGAAGGAGTCTCTTCTGCTTTACAGCAGATAGTGTCCCTGTTCCTCCTCTTCTCCTCTGCTTTCCAATCTCAGCAACTCAGGCACCACTGAGCATCAGCCTGAGTCCCTCTTCCTGTTGCACAGCAGCAATCCCACACCTGCAAAGATCACACTTGTAATTAAAAGAGCTCTCTGTGGCTGGCTTGTCTAATATGTACAAGAAGAGAGTACTGTGTCAATGTGATTTGATATCTTATGAAGTCAGAAAGAAAAGAAAATAAACTTATAAAAGCTATAAGCAAATAACATATTTGATTTAGACAAGCCATTTTCAGTTTGTGCTTTTCATAGAGAGTGAGACACATGCAAACATATACACTTCAAGGTTCACAACTGATTTCATGCTTTTTATGGAATTTTACATAAGTGTGAGGAACTGTGTGTGTAATTTGAAAGAAAGATTATTCAGATTAATTTTCCTCATCTTGGCTGCATAAATATATTTATCTCAAGTAGTGTAATTACAAAAGACCATAAGTTGTGCAGCTAGCATTATTTCCTATGACACTAATTTTGTGTAGTCTAATTTTCTAACTGAATTTTACTTTCTTGTCAAAATTAGGAAGATGGTAAATGAATATTTGATAGATACAGAGTAATGTCTAATAGGTACAAAACATGTCTACCAGCTGATTGAAGCAGATTAATCTACATAAGCACATGTTGATGCACACTGTAGAATCTTTTGTGCATGGTGGTTAATTTCCCTGCAAAGTAATAATGACAGTTTCTCTCACTGTGTTAGAGTGGTTTTCCCCAACACTAACTTAAAAATATGGCTGACCTAGGATGTCCAAGTTGTGTTGTATCAGTTATGTGTGCATTTGTAAATTAATAACTTAAAACAATTCATTTTTAGAAGAATATGAAAAGTCAGATTTTTAACATTTTTTCTAATTTACTATTGATATTTTCCATTTTTAGTTTTTTCAAATTAAAGGACATAAATGTCTGCTTATTAGTTATTTGAAAACACTTTTGCACTGTAATGTTTATTTTAAATATTTACACTATGTCATACTGAAGGTGTAAAATAACACAAACTTTTAGTTGTACAAGGTATATTTATCAGTTATCAAAACTATATTTTTCAGAAATGCACAGATTTCCTGCTTTGTTCTAAAACTGTTTGCACTGATTTCTTTAAGTTTTGCATTGTCATAGTTATCAGTAATACATGTTCATGTATTATAATGACATCAGTATCTATTTAGGCGGTAGAGGATGATAATTCATCATATGTAAAAATGTGCAGTGATTAAACTATGGAATTTAACATGTCCTCCTTTTCAGCTTTAATCATATTAGTTGTCCATTTTATGACAAACCATGTCCTATTAGAACCAAGCATCTTACTGGGTGTCATGGTGGTTCATGCCTTGAATTTGAGCATTTGTGAGGCACACACAGGTGAACCTATATTTTCAAGGTAAGCATAGACTACAACTTAGAAATTCTGGAACACACAAATGAATATATTGAGTACTCTTTGAGAAATATTTTTTTAGATTCCCTTTCTTTATAACTAGAACTAGTAAAACAACATAGTTTGCAAATAACTTTTAGTGAACATTCATATTTAATAATATTTGAAAAGGATATATACCCCTCTTTGAGTTGCTCTCAGTGTGTTTGTATCTTGGTTCCCAGGAGAACAATGCCAAGCTCTAAACCTGTGTTCTCACAATGAGATGGAGAACCATCATCCCATTTAGTTTTGCATTGTTTTGTCTCTTTTTTTTTTTTTTTTTTTTTCCAGAGCTGAGGACCGAACCCAGGGCCTTGCGCTTGCTAGGCAAGCGCTCTACCACTGAGCTAAATCCCCAACCCCTAGTTTTGCATTGTGTACATAGTGCATATAAACATAAAGGAGTCCTTTATTTATATTGTATGTAAAATGCAGATGTAAAAAATAAAAGTTTTAAACTAACATAGTTTGTATTAAAATTTTCTGCTCAAAATTTTGAGTCTCAAATCCCATTGGTTGGTAGAAAATAGATGATTTCTGGGCCAGAATGCTCATATTTCGAAGATATTTTGCAAGGATTGTTTCATGTGGGTGGCTTATTGCAGGCTGCGTGTGCATAGTGGACAAACAGTACTTTCTGTAAACGTGTCCTCTAACTAGATGTTTACAAAGGTGCTAAGTGTGTTAAATGTACAGATAAAACTGACTTATGATGTCATTTAACTTCAGAATTTCTCTATTTACTTTTTTCCCTGTTATCAGTCTATTACTGAAAGTGGGATATTGAAATGACCCACCATCTGTCTGCTGAGGTTGATTTGTGTTTTAAAATCTAAAACTGTTTTGTCAGTGAAGTTGAGGACTCCTGTATTTGATGTGTGTATGGTTAGGATTATAATCTCCTATTGTTGGATTTTTCCTTGAATGAGCAGAAATTACATTTCACTATCTCTTCTGAATAGGTTTTCTTTGATATCTGTTTTGCCATATTTTGGGACAGTTATGCCTGCTTAGATTTGTGGGTTTTTTTATTTTCAGTAAAACCCAACTGCAGTTTTCCCCCCACTCATTCCTCCCAGTTCCCCTCTTTCCCTCTTCCCTGGATCCACTCCTCCTCCATTTCCCTTCAGAAATGAGCAGGCCTCCCTGGAATATCAGCCCAACAGGGCATAACAAGATAAAAGAAGACTACCCACATGTCCTCATATCAAGACTGAGAGAGGTAACCCAGTAGGAGGAAAGAGATCCCAAGAGCAAATGAAAATCAAAGACACCCACACCCCCACTGTTAGGGGTCCCACAAAACAGCAAGCTAACAACCATAAAATACATGCAGAGGACCTATTGCAGACTCATGCAGCCTCTATGATTGCTGCTTCAGTCTCTGTGAGCCCCTATGAGCCCTGCTTAGTTGATTCTGTGGGATCTTGTTTTCCTGGTGTTCTTGACCCCTCTGTCTACTATAATTCTTCCTCACCCAATTGCATGGAATTTCCCAAGCTCCAAGAGGAGGGAACCAATAGAGATCTCCAATTTGAGCTTGCTCTCTCTGCCTAAGGTTTGGCTATGGGTACCCACATCTGCTCCCATCAGCTGCCAGTGAAGGACTCTCTAATGACAGTTGGACTAGGCATCATGTATGAGTTTAGCAGAATATCATCAAGAATCATTTAATTGATTTTTTCCCTATTTTAAGTCTCTGACTATCCAGCCTCAAGTTCTTAGTCATCCAGACAGTGTCAGGCATGGGCTCCCTTGATGTGAGATGTCCTCTATGTTGTGAATATGTGTTGCTCTGATTGGCTGATAAATAAAATGCTGATTGGCCAGTAGCCAGGCAGGAAGTATAGATGGGATTAACAGACAAGAAGAATGCTGGAAAGAGGAAGGCTGAGTCAGAAGACACCAGCCCACCATCTAGGGAGCAGCATGTAATAGCATACAGGTAAAGCCATGGAAAACGTGGTGATATATAGATTAACAGAAATGGGCAGAGTTTAAGAGCTAGTCAGTAGTTAGCCTGAACTAAGGGATGAGAAATTTTAATTAATATAAGCTTCTGAGTGATTATTTTGAAAGCGGCTGTGGGGTCCATGGGGCTGGGCAGGACCAGAGAAAATGTTAGCTACACTCCCTCTCATGGCTTAGGCCTCAAGTTAGACAAGTCTTTAGTTGGCCAATGTGACAAATTCTACATCACCACTGCCCCAGCACATCTTTAAAGTAGGAGAAATTAAAGGTTGAA